AATTTTAATGTGAGAGGAGCATTTTAGGAAGTGTAGCCATAGGATCCGTATCTTTAAAAGCGACAATATTTTTGGACACTGGAAAACAAGTTTTTCAATTGTCCCCGTTTGGCAAAATTTACATGTAATGATTAAGTCTTCTGTTGGTCATTGGTCCGTTTAAGACGCTGAAAACGCAAGTATACAAACTAGTCGGTATTTAATAGCAAATTATAAGAATTTGAAGAATACGGTATGCGTTTTGCTGTTACAAACTTAACGCCCAGTGTAGGCCTTTTTCTATTGACTGGACGTTGTTTACATTCGATTCAAAACTTTTTGAGAATTTGTTTTAGGCAACCATAAGTACTATTTAGATTGCGCGCTAGAGGGACCCACTCAACCTTCTGAGCATTGGGCCCATTCAGAGTCTAGCCCCCACTCAGTCGCATCCCAACAGCGACTCCCCCGCCCCCGTCGCACGTTCCATCCCGGGACACATTCCGAGGCCACTCTCGCCTTCCTTTGTCCGTCAAAATTCTGTTACAGCCAAGTCTGCCTTAGCCATTGTTATCCAAACCCATCTTCGCTTTGAAAAACAGTACTTTTTTGTATCGAACAAGGTTAAACCCATAACGTTTGATTGGTACATAATGCAACTTGACAGAACCCTTCTCTTGTTTAAGTATTTGCACGCATGCCAACAGGTGCTTGCTCGTTTACCCTCTGTTTTTTTGGTCAGTGTGAAAAGATAATAAACGTGCGTGTCGTTGTGCAATTTCACATCCGAAGTTTCAAACGCTCATAGTGGTTATGACAACCGTGTGCTTTTCTTATGGGTCGATTTTTGAAATTTTGGTGAAGTGTCCCATGGAGTCAAAACAAACACTTATTGTTCGAGACGATCCCAAAACAATTGCTCGTGAAGAACAGGTGCAGCTGGTCACTGATATATTGGATGCAGAAGCGAAACTAATTTCCCCCCGGTGTGTAATTTAATTTTATGCACTCAAATGTTTCCATGCTTTCCTCACAAATTTGCAGAGCTGTCCAATCATCGTTTAGAATTTCGTTTGAGCGTACAGCCTATGCGATAAAGCCTTCTCGCGTGGCCATTTTCGGGTTTGTATTAACCTGAAATGTACCGTATACGGCTCGACGCCAGACGTATACGGTATAGACAGCCGGCGCTCGATTAGGAATCGTGGAGAAAACTTCCGTATAACTCAGGTATCCGTGTTCAGAACAGCACGCCAGTCCGTTTTGAGTAGTTCTTTGCCAGATCTTTGTCAGTGTCTTCTCAACCTGAAGACCAAGCCTTGGCTTTTTTTGAACAGTGGACCAGAAGTGATAAATCTTCTCGTGGGCGTTTTCCCCACCCGTTTTTCTCAGACTATGTAGACAGTTAAGAATGACACTGAAGATGAAATTACCGAAGTCTGATCTCGTTTTGCTGAATAGGCACTCGAGTCACACACGGAGGAGAGTGGTATTTTTTTATTTAGGTTTTTATAACGTAAATAGTAATGAGCTCCACGTATGATTAATATCACGTGTGACAAGCTCCTGACGTTTTTGTCCTTGGCTACTGCTTCGTTTGAAAGCTATTCAGACAGCTGGAGTTCAGTAGCTGGGAACATTTTATGTAAACGGTACATGGCAACCAAACCAGTTTTACCGCCCGTAAAAGAAGGTACACGTCCTATGTAGACTACAAACCAATTCGCGTGTGTGACCTCACTCGGCCCGCGGGGAAGGGGACAGTGCTATGAAAATAGCCAGGCAACGGCATTAATATTCTGTTGTTATTATTTAGAGTGTGCACTGCCGTAACTACGACAACTGTCAATGCCATCGGAAGGGGATTGAACGTGTTCTTCACTACTGTCTCACAGAATAAATGGCGCCAGTGAATAAATACAAATACTAATGCACTCGGGTAGAGTTCAAGAACATTATCAGGTGGTCTTGGGCTTTATGGTTACGGTCTATCATTCGATGTACTCATCTACAGCAGTCACACGTAAGTCATCTTTGTAATAAACCCCGATTTGACCAACCAGGAAAGAATCGTCGGTTTTTTTCCTTTGGGTCGAGGTTTACATGCTCAGGTTTGATTAACAATTCTATTTGTCGGCGTGGGTGGTTTTTGCAAGCGTCTGTGAATATTTGTTGTTGATTTGTGAACTGTGTTGACCGCGCTAAACCCGAACATGTCTGACGATATGCCGTCATTCGTTCTGAACGGAACAAAACGGGTAGAGTAGGAATCCAGCATGGGAGGGCCAGTGTAAAACACAACTCAATCATGGGTTTGAAGGCAGAGTCACGGTGTTTTCTGTAGGCTCAAGATACAGACTATTCCCTGAATGGTTTTGCATTTTTACTTCTTGTACTTGTGTTTTGTGATGCCTATCTGCCCTTACTTTGAAAAGTTGTGGCATCTTTTGGTTCCATATTTTTGACAAAGTGATACTCCTCGCGAGAATTTGGCACAACACTTGTCTGTGTAGTCGTCCATTTGTTTTGCACCTTCGTGCTTTATTTTTTTTTATTTATTATTTTTTAATCGTCAGGGGAAGAATTTTGACGGATTCCAGATCGAGTTTATGGAGGTTGGTTGAAAAAGGTAAGGTACATATGCATGTACATGTACTAAGTTAATGACGGTCTTTTTGAATTTTAATCGGGGGTGCGTGGTGGTGTGTGGAACAGCCTGAGCAGCCCGTTCCATGGATACCAAAACCTGGGCCCGCGACCCCGAAAGAAACCCTATCTTTAGTGAGTGCCAATCATGCACCCTATTCAGTCCTGCCACGTGCCTGTTTTGAGTCAGGCCCCGCCTACGTACGCGACAGGTAGGCTCTGGATTATTCATGAGGTGTTTGCTGGGGGACGTGGTGCGATTTTGTGGCACGCGACTATACCCTCAAAAAAATAAAAAGATGAACAAATCTTCCTCCAAAGAGGGAAACGATTCCGAAATGTTGATCTTATATTGCTTTTCAAGGAAGCGTTTCACTTTCGAAGCTGCACCCCTCGAAAATAAGTTTTTTTCAACATAACTTCCTGGTTCGGCACCGATAGAAAGTGCAGGACCAACACAGACTAACTTTGTGACCCTTACTAGGTTTTCCTCCCATAAGTAGGCCCTGGGTATCATTAAACATGAAAATCAGCGTTTAATTTATAATACTCTCCCAACTAACACACTGGCATTCTCACGCGATGTTGCATGTGACTGATATGCTGTTAAGAGTACAGCTGAATGGGAGACTCGGGGGACACGTCGGTCCGATGACGATGGGAGTGTATATAGGGGAAGCTTGAGCCGTGATTTCATACGTGAGGTCTGGGGAACAGGCTTTTTCTGGTGGGTTTTTGTCCAAACGCGTGGGGGGAGTGAGAAATGGAGGATATTTGGAGGATGTATTTAAGGCTGGCACAGGGCAGGATCTGAGATTCTCTCGCTGTGTTTTAGCATGGTGTGATGGCACGATTGTAGAACGTGACCCCAGTCCCCGGCACATCGGTGCGGGAGAGACACATCCATGGTACAGACCCGAGGAGAACGCGCGCCACCCTGTTCGGCGACGAACGTGTCTTGCCCGCTAAATGGGGGACGTGGATGTGGAAATTTTTTAGATGAAACACGTCGACTGCAAAAATTGGTGCATGACATGCGTTCCAAGGGTCTTTGAGCAGGCGGACCGGAGTCAATAAACACTCAAATCAACAGAATCGTTCAACACAATAGCCCATTAACGGACAACAGACAAATAATGCCGCAAATGGAACTTGATATGTACTGAAAGTGTAGCCACAAGAACTCGCCTACCACAGTTGTTGTCAACACTGGTAGGTATGCTCGTCACTCGCTAGTTCGGTCAGCACACTAGTTGATTTATCTATTTGTCTTACCTTCACGCTCTTTGATAACTTACACTGTACTTTAAAGTTTAACTGGAAGTACAGTACTGTACTCTCCATCATTTTCATAATCACTGAGGTGGAACGATCAAGTTGGACATGTCCATTTGTCTTAAGGGCACCACGTCAATTCGGAACTAAAGTAAATTGCATCTGAGTTCGTTAATGATAAGAAAACGCTTGATCTTTCCCTCCAATGAAAAACTTGGTGGTGGATAATGAAAAAGATTTCTCTTGTGCCGGGGGCGTCCTAAGTATTTCAAACTGCCAAATCTGCTCCCGCCCTTTTACTAGTAAAATGAAAAGGTATAAAGAAACTGCTAGGAGTGTGTAGTGAAACCATGGTGAAACTAGACGAGACTTGTTCTGAACTCGACTCGGTAGCAATGCTTATAATAGAATCAGCTCGGCAAAATTGTATGTATCCAATCATTTTGGGGGCCCTGAACCTTTAACCCTGACCCCCGTCATAGGACGACGCGGGCCAGAAACATGACCCTCCCGTCAGCACGTTATTGCGCCGCCTGGCGTCGGGGCCCGTCCACGCCACCTGCCCCGGACACTCTAACGTTTTATAGCCCGTCAAGTTTTAGAGCTCCGCAGGCGAAATAAAAGTTTATACCAACGAGTGGGATTTGGAGGTAGTTTTTTTTTGGGGGGGGCTTTAAAAACAACTGTGGGTATTTTCAAGTCTAAGAACAGGGCGAAAGAGAAAATAGTGAGGGACAGAGAGAAAAAGGTGAAGTTGAGTGAAACCTGGAACCCATTCCGGGAACGGAAGATATATTTCCTAAAAGTCGTGACATAGTTTGTGCAGAATTGCATGACATAAATGTCAAATGCGTTTTATACACGCATTCCTTATACCAAACATGCGCAGTTGTGCACAAATTCGTTGTCATTTGCTGTTCCCATACTGTAAATACATGTACACGTACATACCCATACAGATTCTGCGCAGTGTGTATGCACTGTGATATACATGTACATGCACATACTGGACATGTACATGTACATGTACAATGTACAAAGTACATGTTCACTGTATAGTATCCCATGATGTGTGTTCCACATTGACCCACAGCTGAGTCACCGCGTGCCAACAGCATTAACAGTGAGGCCTCTATTTTCATTACCATAAGCGCCGCCCAACGGGCCGTGCTTATCATAATCGCCAACTCTGATTGGCTGTCGCTGTCGCTGTGTAGTGTAGTGTGTACTGGCGGGCCTTGCAGGATGGGATAAATTGTACGCGGGCATATTTGGAACAATCATTCTGAGTCAAGAAAAACACCTGAACGTTGGTGTGATATGCGTAACACATTTACCACAGCTCCGTGCGGGGCCGAGCTTTGAATCGCTTGAATCAGCATCACTCTGTGTGCACTGATCGCCGCTTCACCTGTGCCCACAGGTCTGCACTGGGATATTTTTGTACTTTCATTCCAATATACCACAAATACCTCACTTCGTCACACTGGAGACGGAACACTCCACAACCATGGTACCTCAGACGCAGAGTTTAGGCTTGATCGGTAGCAGTCAGTCCAGCGGTCCGAGTTCGCCGGAGAGCAGCACATCGGGCAGCGACTTGAGCATGACGGGCATCGATCTCGGCGCAATACTTCAACAGTCCACGCTGGACATATCCGAGGACATTTGCCAGACTAACTGGAAGGCCAACAACGGGCACATTAAGCGGCCCATGAACGCCTTCATGGTCTGGTCCCAGATTGAGAGGAGGAAAATCATGGAGACCCAGCCGGAGATGCACAACGCCGAAATCTCGAAGAGGCTTGGACGCCGGTGGAAAACCCTGAACGACAGCCAAAAGAGCCCGTACGTCGAAGAGGCAGAGCGACTGCGGCTGCTTCACATGCAGGAGTACCCGGACTACAAGTACCGACCGAGGAAGAAAGCCAAGCCAGCTAACAAGCAGGAGAACCCTACGCGTAACGGCGGAGTCTCCAAGCACAAACACAGCTCCAAGAGCAAGAGCAAAAACTCCTCCCGTCACCACCACAATAAGGCTGACAGGGTGCCCAAGCTGAAGCTCACCATCGACAAGAAATTCCGGGAGAGTATCAAGGCGAGCAAAGCCATCGACCTGGGCTCCACGCAACTCACCCCACCCGCCAAGGTGCCCTCGAGCCCCACCGGATCTACACCGGATTCGCCCGTTGACGGCAGGAGTATGTACGAAGACTATGTGGACGTCTGCCCGAAACCGCAGCAGCATGAAGCCCAGCAGCAGCAACACCAGCAACGGATCGCCCCCATTATGATCAAGCAACAGCATCACCATCAACTGCAGCAGCAACAACAACAGCAGCAGCCACAGCAGCCTTCCACTGTACCCATCAACAACAACAGTACTCACACAGACTTGAATACTGCGCAGGCGAATAGCCAACTTGCCGGGCTGACGGAGGAATTCTTCCCCTCGACGTGGCCCAATTTCGACCTGCAGGACTTGGGCAGCTTAGCGGACGACCTGAGCCCGTTGGACTCCTGCAGCAGTAACGGGTCACATTTCGAGTTTCCTGACTATATGACGCCAGAGGTGAGTGAGATGATTCAAGGAGATTGGCTGGACACGAGCTTTGCTTCCCTAATATCAGCGTGTACGAACTAATCAACAGTAAGATGAGGGAGAGCACATTATGGTACCTACTAGCCTTGAAAACCAGCTGCCTCATTGTGTGTAAGTAACCAAAAGGGAAAAGAGAAACACAGACTCGTGCGTGCCCCGGTTGTTTCTGTTTTCACTTATTCCACGAAAATGGAAAAACTGGTGGGGCCTCGCTTCCGTCGTGTTCTGTACCACCTTAGCCGAGACACGTTTACAGCACCGAACTAAACTCAGAAGAGAAAACACTGTCCGGGCCCCTCACGCTGGGGACCAGACCCGAGTCACATTGCCGCTAGTACGCAGTGACTGTGGCACCGTGTAACCGCTGTGTGTGCCCGACGAATAGTCGCCATTCACCCTTCAACCCAATCAAATGGATGCCTGGAGCAGACTGTTGATTTTCTTTTTCATTTATTTTCTCCACAAGAATTTCAAGCAACCTACGGGCTATCAGGTTTTCGTGTAAGGACAAGACTTTTGTAACTGCCGCTGTGATCCGTCTGTGTCTTGTAAATTTTATTTCTTGTGTTGAGCTTATTGAGATAAATGATTTGATTCACGAGTCACATTTTGATACAGTACGAAAGTCAAACTGTTAACTGTCTTTTACACCCTTGTCACAATGCGTCAATCCCACGGCGTCTTATTTGTCTGTGAAAAATAGCTGTACAGTTTTATCCTAATTTTATTGAAATTATTATTTATGCAACGTTTTGTATGATACCTTAAAATAGCTATTATACCTGTTTGTGTTGAGATTTTGTACAGTAGAAGTCACAGTTTTATCTTCGTATGCTCCCGGTGGGGTTTCTTCGTTTTGCTTTGGATTTGGGGTTGCTTTGAACGGATGCAAGTTAGTCTATCTGGAAGCTAAACTTGAGGAAAAATATGCAGACTTGCTAAATTTTGCTAATTTATTTCAAACGGCAAATGAATAAGTGTACAATTTGCAATTCAGCGAATCTTGTTGACAATGTTAATACAGAAGACTAGTACAAGTACAGGAACGAATGGACAGAGACAAGTGGTTGATTGGACGGTGATTGTAAAACGAGAGAAAAAAAATGAAAAAAGAGGAGCACTTATGTATATTTGTACTATTGTAGATTTTCCTCGCTAATTTTAATATACTATTTTGTGTCTATTTTGTACATTCAGAATTATCTTCCTTAGACTATTGTTTATAAATGTTACAAAAAAGTATGTCTTCTTAAACGCCGCTTGTATTTATGTACGTTTTGGACGATTCGTTTCCATGCTGCAGTTACCGACTTCGTCAAAATTCTGTTCACTGCATCAAAAATGTCTGCCCAAATTTCTGCGACAAATGGTTTTGTACAAAAAGTATTTTTATTCCAATTTTTTCTCGCTAAAGAAGTGTGAAACGACCACCCTTTTGGTGTTGCATTTTTTCTTAATTTCCTACTGAAACAAAAACCAATCGCATTTGTGGCAAAAAAAAAACATTCGAGAAAGATTATATTTCCTGACAATGTAATCATATTTTGTAAATATATTTTGAGTAGATTTTTTCTGATTTGATACTAAAACTTTGGTACGCATAACTTATACTTAACGGAAAATTGAGTGGATGGAGCATCTTAATAATATTGAAAAAACGCCTCTTTGAGGTTGTAACTTAAGGTGTGTGAAAGTTGTTTCTGATTTGTATTTCATCCGTTTTTTCACCATTGCAACTTGGATCTAAAGCTGGTTTCACTCTGAAATACTTTGCATATATTTCCCAAATTATAAATCGCACCAATATTATCGACTTAATCATTTTTATACGTTTTCGTGATTTTTGTCTCTTCCAATTGATGAATTTGTGAAAGGTTGGAAAGAACCCCTTGTGCATATATCAGTTTTCAGTCAGCATTGCCATTGCGGATTTAGTACCTGCCAATGTGTAGAGATTAGGCTTTTAGTTCATGTAGTCCCGGCGAAAGCACGTGGTTAGAATACACGCTGATTAGACATTCTCTTCCCCAAACAAGACAACCATCTCGTATGCACTTGTGCAGACCAGTTCTTTCTGTCCTTCATGCTGCACCAGCACGCCACGGCCTGACCTGTCAACCTGCCGCGAGGCGCTTATCAGCTTTTGTGAATGAGGCCCCTAATAGGGTAGCGCGGGGTCAGGATCTGTATCCACTTTGTCAGCCGTGTAAGCATCTTGAGGGGCACAAAGGCCCACGATGGAAACCCCAACCTATTGTCATCGTCGAACAATACTTGGCGTTGCTCCGAACCGCTCACTTACAAAAAAAGGTCTCTTAAAACTGTTTGGGATTTTTCTACAAGTTTCTCTCCTCTGAAGGTTATGAAAGTATTTACCTGTCCTTACTGTGCGGAGATGGCCCTGAAGAATTAAGCAGCAACCCTGGTAGGACCAGCTTTTTTTCATCCTCGTGCACGTTGCTGTAGTGCGACTGGTTCCTGAAACATTTTTGTTGAACGCAGCGGCATTCGAAGCATGCAAAGCCAGCCCCGTGCGGTTTATGGATTTTTCCCCGTCAGTGAAAATAGAGAGGTCGAGCTGGAGGCCAATTAATTTGAAAGCCAGTGTGACGCATTACGGCTTTTTTACCATAATGATACCTTGCGTTTCTTACTGGGTCTTTCTCTCCATGGGAATCCAGCCACGATTTAAAGCCTTATTAGAGGCTTCAAGAAAAGAGGTTTTCGCCGTCGACGCAATTTTCTCGTCACTGCACATTTTTTTTTTATATAAGATGGACCTCAAATGCCTTCGAATACTCCTTATTTGTGATAAATATTGGACCTAACGGAACATTCGCACGCGGCCGTTAGTAATCATCATGGTATCATATTGACCCTATTTAGCGTCTGTCTGCCCACGCCTTTTTTTTTAGTCCAGATGCAGCAGATGCGTTTATTTACAGGTGGACCTAAATATGGAGTTCCGATTTGATTATAGTTAAGACACAATTCCTCACTTCCTGTGCTGATCCAGGCGTCCACCTTCGCATTTTCTTTACATCTGAGGTACTAGAATTACAGTGTGGTCCGCAACCTGAATGCCTGAGTGGCGATTCCGACTGGGCCGGAGTGCCACAGTTCAGTGATGCGATTCGGTTCACTGTCAAGGATTGTCATTCTTTCATGTTCCTTGCATTTTGGTTAAGCCACAAATCATACAAAATCATGATAATCGAGAGCTTCTGAGCTAACGTTTAGGTCTGTAACAAATTTATGTTGGTTTTTTCCCCCAGAATGTGAAAAAATGAAGATTGTCTTTGTAAGAATGCTAGATTACCTCTATTTCACTGAAGGGAAAAAGTGCCAAATCTGGTCCAGGATATTATTAGCAGTCTCGACCCTGCTACACCAAAGCCAAATTGAATTCATTTCTACAAATTCATTTGGTCGATATATGCTTACGTATTCCCCCTCCCGATACTACATACAGCGAAGCTGCAGTTCGAATTATCAGTCTACCCAGTGGTTTCCTGGTCTTTCTTCACTGCCATTGATTGGCGCGCAAATGACCACACAGCTCAGGATGGGAGAGTTTCGAACAGGCCTCGACCGAGAGAATCATCTGGCTCCGCGCTCCATGCCGGTCCTGATTTACGGTCAAACCTGTCTGACCTCAGCCCCTTCAAAATACAGTATCACTCTGCCACTGATCACCTCTTTTAACGCCGAACACGCTGCTACCCGAAGTCTGCTGTAGCGTGATTTAGGCTCGCGGCCTCCTGGGGACGCGGCTTCTTCGACACCCCGCCAAGGCCAGCCGTATGGGATCAGCCTCTGTCTCGCCGGTGTCATTAAGGTCGTCCCCGTCTGACTATGTTTACAACCTTTCATCTTGTAATAGATCTCACTTTACCCCTTTTTTGCCCTCCTTTACAACTAGGCATACTGATACCGTATTGGAAAGGGAGTGGTCCGCCTGTGGGGTGGGGGGGGGGGTTAATTCTATATTTTGCCCGAAGGTGTTTGGAATGCGGGCATGCGTGCTTGGGGGTTGGAAGTAAACACCAGGATTTGGGTAGCAGGGTTTTAAGATCAAGAGATTACGTACGGAACGCCAGTTTTGTGTCCGTGTTTTCATTTTAATGATCTTCTATGGAATGTCACACGCTCGGAGTAGGGGACCCTTCAAAGGTGTACATGTACATGTATATAGGCCTGCATATAGATTCTTTAAGCATGTACCTTTATCTGCTCTACGTAAAAAGGTGTAGCGGAATGGAAATGATGTAGGCCCTTGTCATAATAACGCTACAGCTTCACTCATCTCACGGAAAAATGGAATTGCAGAAGTCCAGGTGTGATGCAGACAGATGTAATGCAAAGAGGAGCAGTAATCATGAAAACTCATAGCATGATGACGTGTTTGAGTTCATCTGGGGGTGCTGAGTTTCGTTGTTCGACCATTCGCAGTGGAAGTCGAGCCCGTTCACGCTGTATCATTTTAATGGCCGCTGGAGGGCGCTGTAAAACGTGACGTCATCTTCCTGGCAGCGACTGGACCACTTGCCGAACGCGAAGCGCTGTCGCCTTGCCTAACGTTCCGTAGCAGAGACCCATGCTTTCTGCCCTCTCCCCGCCAGCGCAGTCGCGACATCTCGCTATTCCGGTCCGACAAAAATAATCGTAAAACTTAACGATCACTGTTTGCCCTCTCGAATTGACCTGCTGACAATATTGGCGTTTCACCTCTGCATATACATGTACATTTTGCAAAACAGCACACGTACGTCTAAAAGTCAGTTCATATATAATTCTGTTTTACCGCACTAATACAAACCAACGCTTGTTGCATTAGTAAAATTACAATGTATCACGATATTAGTCCGATCTCGGATTGCCGCTTCAATTTCCTTGATGGCATTTGCTTAGTGATATTCTGTCTTTTGGTGTAATAAATAGCTGAAGAGGCTTGACCTTTAACTTCAACAACATGGCCGGGTCAAGGTCCATCTACCTGTATATTCATCTCTTGATTCGCCTGTACCTAATTAATTGAATAACTGATCTCGGCGCGCCAAGCCTCGAAAGGTGCAGGCCCGCGTGACTTCACCCTCCCAAGGTTTTTGGTTTCGGGCTGTTTGGGAATTCCATGGGCTCCCGGCCTCGTGTGCGGATTATTTCCCGAACGTTAAAAGATACAGCGCGCATGAAAATGATATCACCGGGTGCCCGCACGGATCCCCGAAGGACATTAAGCGCTTAGTCCGATGTGCTGCTGTGGACATGGGAATGGGCGATTGGTCTCGCGACAGGTCTGAGCGAGGTACGAACTTAGGATGGGGGTGTTTCCATGACCCACCAGTCGCCTTTGCCTGTGACGGCCGTCTAGTTCGGTTGAGGATTCCTTACGGAAACAAGTGCTCTGAGCTTCCCAATTCGAAAGGCGCAATAATAGCATCAGCTTGGAAATTTATATACAAGTAACTGAGTAACTGGAAGCTAATGCCCGCCATCCATCCGAGTGTTGGCATTGCTCCAATTATGACGTCCTGGCCGCCCCTGATGATAGTATAAATGCAGCAGTTGGCCATGTAGGCCTATAATGCACTATTCAAAGCACGAGGAAAAACCTGATACATCAGCTCTGCTATCGAGACATCGTATTCCACCTTATCCATTCAGCTGGCATTTGCCTCGCATGATCAGACAAGACTATTTGGTATTTCTTGACTCTGCATGAGATGAAATTAATGATAGAACGCTAGTATTTGGCATGGGGAGAGTATACAAAATATCGTGGATGATAGTCATAGGAGGAGGGGTACATACAGACAGGCGAGAATGGAGTATCGCTTTTGATAAATTTTTTGTTTCCACTTTTCATAGCACGCGTGGTTTGAAGAAAAAAATAGGGTTGCTCGCTTGACTCGCTCCATCGAACTGTCCCCGCTCATTCAAGACGGCGGAGTTAAACCGGGGTAACCGATTCGTCACGCAAGCAGAAGCCCCATTCGCCGCCGTCTACTGAGTGCAATTTCCTTAATTGACGCTTCCAGATCATATACTATCAATGCTGCAGTTCAACGGGACTCGGCAGCCGAGTCTGTAACCTAAGCCGCGAAATCCTAATGAATTGGTTCGGACGGTGTTGGACCCTGTGTATACACACACGATGGATATGGATGGGTATTAACGAACATCTTTGCTGTTGGGACCGCGTTCCGGGTCTGCCCGCCTCCGGTGTATACCTCTCCATTATGCCTGCGTACACAGCACGGAACCTTGTGTGTACTAACGGCAAAGAGATCGGTGACCCCCGCAATGAGCCTCTTCCGTGGGATCCATGTTTCACCGTTCTGCTAACATGAAATAGGCGGAGCGATTGTAACTCGAAGGGGCAAAACTACGCTTATTTTCCAAAAAGGCCGAAGGCGTGCCCAGTTGTGCCGTATAATATTGCATCATTGTAAACGTAATAAATTTTCAACATGGATAATTTTTTCCCTCACAGGCATAGGCACATGCTTTTATGGGGCAGAAACTTATTAAATCATTTAGTTGCCGCATACAGTTTGACAAAGGCCTGTTAAACCCATGTTTGTTAAAATTATTACATAAAAAATGACTTTATTGATGTCAGTAGCTCAAGCTGGTGGGTACATGGTAAGGTGTCGCGTGTCACGTGCGAAAATCGACTATGCCCTGTGCAAGAAAAGGTGTATGAATTTATGTGGCCGTTGGTTGTAAAGACGCGTATTTCGACGGTAATGATTTTATGATCATATACATGTAATACGAAATGTACTCGGGTGGTGTTATACAACTGTGTGT